AGTGGTTTAAAAAAAAAAAAAGCCAGGCATCAGTGGCTCACGCTTATAACCCTAGCTACTTGAGAAGGTTGACATTGGGAGGATCACGGTTCAAGTCCAGCCCAGGTAAATTGTTCACAAGATCCATCTCCAAAATAACCAGACCAAAATAGAATGAAAGTATGGTGGAGTACCTGCTTTGCAAGGCTGAAGCTCTGTTTTCAAACTCCAGTCCTGCCCCCCACCAAAGAAAAAAGTAAACTAAGCGTCCTGCTGGGTTGCTCCATGAAAGTCAGAGACCTAAGGAATTATTATTATCCAGATACAGAGATTTGGAGCCCAGTAGGCTTACTAGGCCAAAAACTCTCTTGTGTAGCTCTTACACTTTTTTTGTATAGGCCTTTGGAATTAGACATCTCACAGTCAGCCCAGGCATCGCCAATTCTACTATCTGGATGGCAGGTGGCAGAGTTGAAAGAGACTGAGATTTTTCAAGCATATGGGGCTGGTAGAGTGGCTCAGGTTATAGAGTGCCTTGCGTAGCAAGTGTGAGGCCCTAAATTCAAATCCCAGCATGGCAAAAGAAAAAAAAAAAAGTAAAGAGAAAACTTATGAATGTATCTAAGTTATAAAATAAGAGGCAGTCAATGCTCTTAATTCCTTCAAAAAATATTAACTGGTGGCTGCTATGTGCCAAGTCCTGGTCCAGGTACTGGGAATACAGTGGAGGACAAGAAAGTCTTTTAAGGAGCTTAGTTTTTTGGTAGGGAAAACAGACAATGAACAAATAATAAAATTTCAGACAGCAATGGCACATGAAGAAAATGAAACAGGCTAAAGGAATCGAAAGACACGGGAGGCTACTACTTTAGGTTGAGCAGAGAAGCTGGAGCTAGATTTCTAAGAAGCTGATATTTGAACTGAGAACTGAATGAAAAGCCGGCCATGACAATACAGAAAAAATAGTGCTCCAGGCTGAGAGAGGAGCGAGCACAAAATTTCATAGACTGGAGCAACCCAGCATGTTCAAAGAAACAGAGGGAGGAAGGGGGAAGAGCTTCCAAGACAGATCACGAGAGAAAAGGAGCCTGAAAGGGAATGGCTTTGCTGTGAGCACAGTGAGAAGGTTTTAAGAACGTGCCACTGCTGCTTCTGTGTGGAGAAAGCAGTATATGGATTCAAGGTAAATCCAAGAAACTGCTTGGGAGGCTGCCGCAGGCATCCAGGAATGAGGGGAGGGTGTTTTGGACTGAAATTGTAGCAGTGGGGTGATGAGAAGCAGCTGGGTTTGAAGCAAAGCAAAGGGCTGATGTGGGGCGTGGCAGACTCCCAAACAGCCTTGCCTGTCCCTGCCCACACTTCTTTGCTGGCAGCGTCCTCATTTTGTTTAAGTATTCCTTCTTCTACTTGCTTAAAGAAGATGGCTTTTCCTCTTTCCCTTCCTATATCTTCCTTCCCCTTTCCTTCCCTTCTCTCCCTCACCTTCCCTTCTCTAACTCTCCCTCTCTCCCTGCTTGCTTGCTTACTTGCTTTCTTCCTTCCTTCCTTTTTAGGTTTTGTTTGGGGGCGGGGGTTGCTTTAAGGAAAGGGTTTTCTCTCTAGTAAAGAGAAATGTGGGAAGAAACCCCTCTCCCCTGCCTTAAGACAGTGTCATATGAGGACCTGATACTTAGAGCTGCTGCAGCCACCTTATAATCATGAGGGAAAATGTCATCAGCCCATTGAGGATGCCAGAACAAAAAGCTGGAAATACCGGAGTTATTGATGACATCACTAAATCAAGTCTGGAACTGTCCTACACACCGATTTGTAATGGGATAATGAATATCCTCATTGTTTAAGCCATGAGTAGTTATGGTTTCCACTATCTACAGCCAAACAGTTCTAATGAGAGTGGGGAGAGAAGAGGATGAGAGAAATGTGATCCTAGGTTCTCAATCTTTGGGTACAGATGTTGTTCACTACCACTGGGATGCCTAGAACAGAAGTAGGCTTGGCAGGGAGTAGGTGAGGGTAGAAATTGAGGATTGCACTATGACTGTGCCATGTTTGAGGTGTCTAATGGGCTTTCAAGTGGAGACATCAAGTAACCAAATAGACATGAATCTGAAGTTCAGAGCAGAGGTCTGAAATGAAGACAGAAATTTGAGAGTCACATCCAGGACATGCATTTATTTTTTCTTTTGTTGTGTGAGAATGTATACAGCCTAGTTCTGCTTCTTTTTGATTGGACCTAGAAATGTTACGAGAACTTTCTACAATGGATATTGAAACAAATACTTCAAAGTAGCGATAATATAATAAAGACCCTTAGTCAGGTGTGGTAGCACATATCTGTAATCCCAGCACACAAGAGGTTGAGGCAGGAGGATGGCGAATTTGAGGACAGCCTGAGTTACATAGTGAGACCCCATCTCAAAAATAAATAAAACCCTCTATCACTTCTACAAAATCTTTCACCATATAAGGTATCATAGTCACAGGTTCCAGAGATTGAAATGTGAGTATCTTGGGGAGGGGGCGTTATTCTGCCTACTACAGTTGCTATTGGAAATGCAGACCTCCTATGACCAGAGCTTCAAGTTCCAAGGTAAACTAAACATCCAAGGTTTTAATATGACTGCAGAGAAAAGCACAACAGACTGACTACTGTCCTTAGAAAGGCCTGAATATAAGGTTGGCCCTTGCCTGCCGTCTGGGATCTGGTACTCAGTGTGTTCTGATAAGGATTGATCATTGTACCTAGACTTTCTGTGAACAATAAGACTTATGCCAAATACCTACTTTTCTTTTAGAAGTCTGGAATTTTGTTATGTGCTAGCCAGAAGTGCTTATGTGACAATAAAATACCTGCTACTCAGTCTCCAGTGAGCCTCCTTGGGCAGAAATATTGCATTTTATTTTGAAGGAAGAGTATACTTTGTGTGAGTCCTAAAGGGACTCCCAGATTCCTTCAGACTCCACCTGTCATTCCTCTTCTGATCCAGATGTGCATCCTTACTACATCACCGCAGTCTGAACCATGAACACAACTGTGATGACAAATAAAATATTTCTGAGAAGGAATTTGACCTCCAGGCTGCCAATTTGCAACTTCTGTCTTCTTAGAGCCCCGTCTCTGAAGTAGATCAAGTCATCACATACACACTTAGCGAATGCTTAGCATAGTTGCTAAGAACTGGGGACACACAAGGTACCAGAGGCTCATGCCTGTAATCCTAGCTACTTGGGAGGTTGAGATTAGGAGGATCATGGTTCAAGGCCAGCCTGGGTAAATAGTTCTTGAAACATCCCCCCATCTCCAAAATAACCATAGTAAAAATGAATGGAAGTGTGGGTCAAGGGGTAGAGTATCCATTTTGCAAACAGGAAGTCCTAAGTTCAAACCCCTGTCCCATTTTCACCCCCCCAAAAAAAAGAACTAGCGACACAAAAATGAATGTGTCACAGTCTACCTGCCATAGCCACCTGCTATGTAGTAAGACAGACATGTATGCAAATAACTATCACATAATGTTCTATACAAACTAAAATAAATGTGGACAAAGTGTTCGAAGAACACAAACAATTCTTTATACCATGCTTTGCTGTGTGTGTGCACATCCCCAAATTCATCTGGGCCTCACAGTCCAAAGTTGTCCTCGTTTGACAAATGGAAAACTGCACCTGAAGGTCCAACAGGCTTAGGGGCTTGCCTAAGCTCAAGTCTACTATATTCATTCTGCTGAGGTGGGCGTGTAGAAGAAAAAACACTGGGTGAAGGAAGGTCTGCCATGCTTCTTCCTCTCCAGAGGCCATGACCCCATTTCCCAAAGCAGTTTTCTTTTCATAAATGAGTCTTACTCTCCCAACCAGATTGCAAGTCTACTGGGAAAAGAGACCTTGTCATATTTCACTGTATTCTTTTCTGTGCCTTGCCTAAGTCAAATGCCAATCAGCTATTTTGTTGATAGAAAGTCGCCATCACTGGTTCTTTTGTGATTTTGGGTTGTGTTGTCAGACAGCCCTGGCCCTGGAATAAAAGGATGAAAGGAAAAGCAGGTGAATCCTCTCCAGGTGATGACTACCCTGGGAGACAGGTTTCTTAAGGACGTGCCAAGCAACACATGGGCTCTGCCTCATGAATTTCCCTCATGGAGAGAGACAGCTAGAAAATGTCAGGGAAGGCCCGTCCTTGCGAGAAATGGAAATAAAATGTAGAAAGAAGGAATCGCTTCTGCTGAAAATGCCAAGGATTCGGTGAGGTTAAGTAATTTGCTTTAGGCCTCACAGGGTCATTTCAGGTCCTGAGGGCTGCCAGTTCAGTGCTGCACGGTTCTGGCAGCAGGAAAGCGGGCTGGTGGCCGCTGTGAGGACCCACTGATAGTGACGGCGCTGATGACGGGGCCTCTGATCGGCGGCCGGCCGGCTAGTGGCCGCAGACTCCCTGGGGCAGCCCTCGCAGACAGGCTGGGGGGCTCGGCTCTGTGGGACAGTGTAAGGGACCGGCACCCTGGGGCTCAGACTGTGCAGCTCGCGGTCCTCGGCCGTCCACAGGTGTGGGCGAAAGTCTGCCGTCACGGCCGGGGAACAGCCGGCGGCGTGCCGCTGGAAGGGGTTCCGGGACGACCGTCCGGAGCCCCCAGGGAGGGGGGACTGGGAGGGCACCGGCGAAGGCTGCCTGGAGCCACCTCAAAAGGATTACTGCTTCAGCCGCGCCCGGCCTAAATCAGAACACCTGCAGCACCGGCGCCCGCATGACGCAGGTGCAGTCGAGACGCGCCCTGTCACCGCATCCTGCGTCCCTGCTTCGGACCTCTGGAACCCGAGGTGCCGGCTCAGAACAGGGAAAGAAGGGTTAAAGCCTGGCTCGCTAGTCCTAACCCAAACCCGCCAGGTGAGCTACCAGGGAGCGGCAGTAGAAGGGGATCCGGCTTAGCCCCGCCCCTTAGGGCCGCCTCCCGTTGGGGGCGTGGCCTACAGGCCGCCCAGCCCCTAATGGGAGAGCTAAGCGCGCGGACCCGCCCCCCGGTGTATAAGAACGGTGCGGCACTGCAGCTAGCGCAGTTCTCACTGAGACTCGTCACCCTGACTCTGCGTGAGACACAACCCGGACTCACCATGGTGAGTGCGGCCCCACCGGGATCACACCTGTCCTCTACTTGTCCCTTTCGGGAAGCCTCCCTCCGGGGATGCTTGAGCCCCTCCACCCAACGTTTCCAGGTCTCGGGGAGGTGCAAGGGTTTTGCACACTCTCCAGCCCCCTCCTGGTGCCTTTGGCCTAGTGTGCTGTCCACCTCACCTTCAGAAGCTGGGGATGGGGGTGGGGTGGGATGTCCCACTAGCATAGAGAAACCCTCCTGGCAATTCCATCCTGCCTCACCAAGCGTTTGTGCTCCAACATTCCTGAGAGGAGTCACGCGGTCCTGTGCACAGTCCTTCCCGCGGGTGTAGAAAGACTTGCTTGCCCCCCTGCCCTACATCCCTATCCTTTAGTCCCTGGAACTGATCGAACACGTGCTTGGCGCCAGAAGGTGGGAAGGGGTCAGGTTACTTGGTGCCGCATCCCCTCTCCCCCAAACTGTGCCAACCTCCCGTTCATAGCTTCTCCCCCCCCACCCCAGTGACTCAGCACCCCGCTTCTGAGCCAGGAGGGGTGGAGAGAATGGGGTTCGGCCTCTCGAAGCCAGCCGGCCCCTGTCCTACTGGAGCGCGGGTACTCGGAGGACGGGCAGAGACAACTGGCTCTGAGCGACCACGCTGGCCTTGGCCAGGTTGGGGGGAGGGGAAAGAGGTGTGTGTAGGGGGGTAGTATTTATAGCCCAGGAGCGGGACCCGAAACCCAATCCCGGCTTTCGACTGGGAAGTAACTGGAAAGACTCCAGAGGGAGAGCGGATGTAGGGCCCGGGTGCAGGATGGCGCTCACCCTGCCCGAGGCAAGACCGGTCGGTTACCTCTGGGCCCTCACCGCAGGTTCCGCTTCCTTTTCTGGGTATTTGGACACCGTCACCCTGCCATTTCGTTGTAGGAAGGGAGGCTCAGACCCTGCGGACTTTGGTGTTGTAGGGGTTAATTTTGGTCAAGCAGGGACCCAGCCTAAGGCTGCAAGTGGCCCAGGACTCACAACCTTTATTGCCCGCCCTGCGGTCTCCGGTCTCCGCTTACCAGCATTATTGCTGCTAATTCTGTGCGGGCTGACGCGGTGGATGAAGGTGGTGAAGCCACGCAGAGTGTGGGGGTGGAGGTGGGGAGAGGAGCCAGATGGAATTAATCTCCAGAGCCAGATGGGATTTAAAGGTGTAGAGGAGAGGGCATCCTGATAACCGGTGTGGTCAGCTGATGCCAGATTGGAAGGCTGAAAAACATTTTTGCCCACAGGGAAGAAGGGGAGAAGGTTGTAGGCAATTCTAGTTGTTCATTCTCACCCCAAGTGGGGTGGCCTGTGGCTGTAAACTCTGGAAAACCTGTCTCTTCTTAAGCGCTCTAAAAGCCAGGTTTGTGGGCAGAACAGATTGGGAACAGCTGGAAAGTCGCTTATTCTTAGTTACTCAGGCATCTGCCTGTCTCATATGCACGTGCCCTCTTTGTCCTCCTTGAGTGTCCTGTGACTGTGGAAGGGTCATGCAGAGTCACAGTTCTCACCATACAAATTCCTCAACAAGAAGAAGGCTAAGGGGTTGGCCTGCTTGACTGGGTACCTCCAATTTGGGGAGTCCTGTGCAGGGGAACCTGGGGAGGCTGCCAGCCTCTTTCTGACCTCTGCCAGCCTCAAGCCAACTGAGTCATCCTAGCTGGTAGGTGCTAGGGTGGGAGAGAGAGGCTTGTGAAGTGAGGACTTGTGGATGTGGCACTTATGTTGTGATCCCTCTCTTTATCCCTTAGCGTGAATGCATCTCAGTCCATGTGGGTCAGGCAGGTGTCCAGATGGGCAATGCCTGCTGGGAGCTTTACTGCCTGGAACATGGGATTCAGCCTGATGGGCAGATGCCCAGTGACAAGACCATTGGTGGAGGGGATGACTCCTTCACCACATTCTTCTGTGAAACTGGTGCTGGAAAGCATGTGCCTCGGGCAGTATTTGTGGATCTGGAGCCCACTGTAATTGGTGAGGAGAGGGGAGGCACATTGGAGGGAGGTGGACACTGTTTCTCTTGAGGGGGTGTCTAGACCGGTTTTCCTGGCCCTGAAAACTTCTAGCCCTATTGGAAGCTGAAGAAGGGATGCTGATCTCAGGCTGGCATGGGCCGTGGCAGGGTTTCTCTCACACTCTAGTAGCTTAGGCTGACAGAAGAGTTAACTCTTCCATATATTTGGCTGCAGCTACCATGCTGGGTGGGAAGGTCCCTGCTGGGCACAGCCTTTTGACTTTTGCCCTAGCAAAAGGTTTATTCCCTTCCAGATGAAATCCGAAATGGTCCCTACCGACAGCTGTTCCACCCAGAGCAGCTCATCACTGGGAAAGAAGATGCCGCTAACAACTATGCCCGTGGTCACTACACCATCGGCAAAGAGATCATCGACCCCGTACTAGATCGGATCCGCAAGCTGGTGAGAATTTGGCCTGGCAGGGAGGACTTAATGATCAGAAACATATTTTTCAGATCCTTTTTAGTGGCTCATCTCTAACTGTATATGTTCTAGAATGCTATGCTGCTATGAGATACCCAGTTTTTGTCCTGACTTCTGAGATATTTTAGGCATCATGGGGAGAAAGTTCATCAGGCTCCTCCCCTACCTACAGTGCTCTTTCTTGCCTTTCAGTCTGACCAGTGCACAGGACTTCAGGGTTTCCTGGTGTTCCACAGCTTTGGAGGGGGCACCGGCTCTGGCTTCACCTCCCTCTTGATGGAGCGGCTCTCTGTTGACTATGGCAAGAAATCCAAGCTGGAGTTCTCTATCTACCCAGCCCCCCAGGTGTCCACAGCTGTGGTCGAGCCCTACAACTCCATCTTAACTACCCACACCACCCTGGAGCACTCAGACTGTGCCTTCATGGTGGACAACGAGGCCATCTATGACATCTGTCGCCGCAACCTGGACATCGAGCGCCCAACATACACCAACCTCAACCGCCTCATCAGCCAAATCGTCTCCTCCATCACAGCTTCCCTGCGCTTTGATGGGGCCCTCAACGTGGACCTGACAGAGTTCCAGACCAACCTGGTGCCCTACCCTCGCATCCACTTCCCCCTGGCCACCTATGCACCAGTCATCTCTGCAGAGAAGGCTTACCACGAGCAGCTGTCAGTGGCAGAGATTACCAATGCGTGCTTTGAGCCTGCCAACCAGATGGTGAAGTGTGACCCACGGCACGGCAAGTACATGGCCTGCTGCCTGCTGTACCGTGGAGATGTGGTGCCCAAGGACGTCAACGCCGCCATAGCTGCCATCAAGACCAAGCGCAGCATCCAGTTTGTGGACTGGTGCCCCACGGGCTTTAAGGTTGGTATCAACTACCAGCCTCCCACTGTGGTGCCTGGGGGTGACCTGGCCAAGGTGCAGCGTGCTGTGTGCATGCTGAGCAACACGACCGCCATTGCTGAGGCCTGGGCCCGCCTGGACCACAAGTTCGACCTGATGTATGCCAAGAGGGCTTTTGTACACTGGTACGTGGGTGAGGGCATGGAGGAGGGCGAGTTCTCTGAGGCCCGGGAGGATATGGCTGCCCTGGAGAAGGATTATGAGGAAGTAGGCATCGACTCCTATGAGGACGAGGAGGAGGGAGAAGAATAGACAGCTGTTTAGAGCCGATTCACTATGTTTATTGCAAAATCCTTTCGAAATAAACAGTCTCTTGCACGGTTTCTTGTCCCCTCTGTGAATGCTTGAGCTGCTGCTGCTACTGCTTTTGCTGCTGTCTCCACTTGCTGCTTATGACCCTTTTCCCTTCCATGGCTGAAAGTGAGACTTGCCAGGGGCCTTACCAGGCCCAAGAAGGATGATTCCAGGGACCTTAATGTGAGGTCTTATGGCACCCAGGATAGGGAGAAAATGAGGACCAAATCCTGAGCATGTCTGTCTAGCCACAAACTACTGAAGGATACAAATCTTCCAAGTAGGGCTTGATGTCCAGCAGTTTCTGTGTTGGAGAGTTGGACTGCTACTATATTCTTCCTGTTGCTTCTGCATTCACCAACTCTGGAAGCAAGGCTTGGCCCAGGTTCCTGTGTGCTTTATGAGGGTTTGGGAACGGGGCTGGGCTGGCCTCAAGTTCCTGGGCATGGAGCCATGGCACATAAGCTTGGGGGATGGGCGGGAACAAGCAGCTTTGCATAGCTTACTGTCTTGCTGCTTTGCTGGGGCTAGGGCTATGCCATTAAAAGTCAGGTTGTCTCCCCTCTGTTTGTGCTTTATTTCGTCCTTAGCCTCCATGCTAGCTGGTGGGAGCCTCCTGTCTAGGCCCTGGGGAAAAATTCAACTTTGCTAATAGGCACCCCAGGACCTACTCTAACGTCAGCATGTAGGGGTGGGCATGGTTGAGGTGGGGCAGGAGGTGCAACCCTGTCCTTGCCTTCCCTCCCTAGTGATTCAGGGACACAGTGCCCTTCCTTCGAGAACAGGTTTCAAGCCCAGCTAAGGCAAGGCATCTGTTTACTCAGCAGAGCAGGCAGGAAGTGGCTGTTGGATACAGCCACACAGCATTAACCTCATTAATTATTAACCATGTGTAAGCCAGAATTATCAGGGAGACAGGGTCAAAATGGCCACCAGCTCCACTCCCCTTACCCCAGGCTGAGGATGGGAGACCTATTATGTAGTCCCAAAGCTTCCTCAGGTGTCTCCACCCAGAGTTCCTTGGCCTGGCAAACCTGCTGGGCTGCTTCAACTAAGCTACCCATCCCTGGGAATGAAGGAAGGAGAGAACTAGTTAAGTGCTTTAAGGGGGCCCTGGTCCTAGTTCTTGGCACAGGTAAAAGCCAGAGGAGATTTAAGTTTTTGTCTAAGGCAAGTAGAACTGCCCACTGCCAACTAGCCAGATCTCAAGTAAGAACATCTGCTTCCTTAAATGGAATAATGAAGTCCATCATTGCTGATTATACCAGTCCCTTTCCTGGGCCGTTCCTGTGGAAATGGAAACCTGACTCTGGGCCCCATGCTTCCCTCCTCCATACGTCGACACCAAGATGCACACCAACCTGCTTTCACTTTATTCTGTTTATACATTTTCGTGCACCCAGATTGGGAGGCAGAACATGATGTGAGCCCAGCAGTCCAGCTCAGAGCTGTGTACCATATTTTTTCAGTTTCACTTTTCCTCATCCCACCCTTAGGCCCGTTGCTTAGGTTGAGGATGAGAGAAGAGCAGACATAACTGAGAACACTTTCCCCATTTCCCTACGCCCTACCCCCTACCCCCCGAGATGTAAAGAGTCCTGGGTAGAATGGATGGGATTCTAATGAGGAATAAGAGCCTCTTTCCAAGGCATAGGGGGCTATCTTCTCAACATGGCCACTGGTCTATTCAGATTTGGGTGGTGTGCTGGCCAGGAGCTGAGGGCTGAAGTGCCTCCAACTGACTGAGGAGGACAGGAATGTGAGGGCGCTCCTGGGAGTCTACAATCATCATGGAGGTCAGCAGCTGCCGCAGGGCTGAGGAATGCCTATGGAGGGAAAGGGGGCAGGGTAACTGGAGGACACCTAGCCCCCTTGCTAAGACTCCAACTCAGCTAATCCTAGGGAAGTGTCTGAAATGTTTGGTGCCCCTTTTAGTGCTCACTCACCTAGGGCTTTGCGGAATGCTGAGTTGGTTTTGCACAGCAAGGGCCACACTGTCACCCTTCTGGAACACCATGTCATAAGGGCCTTCTCCAAACATCATGGCATAAAGCACACAGCCTAGGGACTGAGCACAACTTGGTTAATCTCTGGAAAGGGAACATGGAAGTGACATCTCTCCCCTTAACTGCTGTGGTGAAAGGAGACTACATAAGCTAAAAGGATTACACCACCCTCAGCCATGTGGCACTGCCAGAGCCCAGAGAAACTGCGGTTAGCTGGAGGCCTCTGCAGCCCTTGCTTAGGCACTGCCTAAGCTGTACCCACCCAGTTCAGCGGCAGGCATTAGACCACTTCCTGACGAACTGAGTACAGTGACAGTTTCTAGGAAGGAAGTGAGGGGTATGGGGATAAACAGGTTCCAGGCTCCATGCAAGAGAAACCAAAGGCCTCCTCCCCTCTAACTCCACAGTATGTACAGAACTGCACCCCTCTCCACCCAGGTTCCCACCCATGCTCCTCACCCAGACATCAGTCCGCTCATCGATGACACAGTGGCTCTGCACAGAGAAGAGTTCTGGGGCCCGGTAGGAGATGGTGCACCGCTGGGCCGCCCAATCCTGGAACAGTGGCCCCAGGGCTCAAAAATTGGGCACAGGCCATGGTAATGCAATCAAACTGGGGCATGCACCAGCAGGAGTTAGGGATGCGCAGGTGGGCAAAGGAACCTGGAGACTCTCTTACCTGAAGAGCTAGGGCCTGGCGGGAGCTCTCCACATGAATGCATGCTTGATTCATGGAACCCAAGTCCATTAAAACTGGCTGTCCTTCATCTCCAAGCAAGATATTGGTGGGCTTCAGGTCCCTGAAGGGAGTAAAAGTGACCCATGAACATCCCTGGACAGGGAAGCTGGAATCCCAGAAAGCAAAAGAACTGTGGGGATTTTACAGGGGAGGAGAGCAGAGACCTACAGTTCTTCCTCTCAGCCCCAGAAAGTACTTAGGGCCCTCTCACTAACCTGTGAGCATAACCTTTGGTATGAATGGCCTCAAGGCCTCTGCAGATACCCAGCAGCAGCCGAAGAATTTGATCCTCAGTCAGGAAGTTGCCTTGGTCCTTCAGCCTTTCTATTTCATTCCATAGTGTACCTCTCTACAACATAAGTTTCCCTGAATTGAGTTTCTGAAGTCTCTGCTCCCTGGGCCTCATCATCCCTTCCATGTCAAACTTTCACTACATACTCCTCAACCCCACAGTCCCACTTGGGCTCTTCTAAACCCCAAATTCACAGGGTTGTTTGTTTTTGTTTTCTTTTGTTTTTAAGACACAGTAGGCAGGCTAGCCTCAAACTATGTAGCCCAGGCTGGCCTTGAACTCTTGATCCTCCTGCCTCAATCTCCCTAGTGCTGGAATTACAGACATAACCACCATGCCCAGCTATAAATTCACATTTTCTTTTCCTTTAGTACTGGGAACTGAACACAGGACCTCACACATGCACTACTAGTAAGCTACATCCCCAATCCTAAACTCCAAATTCAAAGTGTCCAAAGTCAGGACATGACCCATTTCCTAACACGCTAGGCTGTTCACACAGCCCTCAGTAGGTGACTCTGTTGCAACCCCTCCATAACCTGGAGTCTTTCTGACCTTAAAGAAGGGTAGCAGTAGCCAAGCTTCATGCTTAGCACCCCGCTCTCTCAGACAGTAAGCCACAAGGTGAAGGATGTTGGGATGATGGAAGAGGCGATGCATGTCTGCTTCCCGCTGGGCCTCCTCCCGGTCCTGCTGCTCGTGACACAGGATTCGCTTCAGGGCGTAGAAGTGTCCATCATGTAACCCTTCCACTAGGTCCACATAGCTGAACCCACTGTGGGCCAAAGGGGTCAGTGAAGGACCAAGGTCATCTCCCACATGGCTTGGACCTAGAGGAGTTCCCTTGGGAAGGGGTGCCTATCAAATTGAGCAAGAAACCCTTCCCAGATGTGGCTCTAAGATAAATTGGAAGGCTACCATGGTTTGAGCTTCTCAACAGCAGGGACACAGAAATCACTGGGGTCATATGATTCTAATACAATGCTCTGCATATGACAGATGCTCAGTAAATATTAAATAACTCATAGCCATGCTTATGATCCAGGCATGGCTGAGAAATTTTACATACATTATCTCATTTAATCTGTACTACTCCCTCAGTAAGGCATGATACTCTCCATCAAGCAGATGTAGAAACCACAGCTTACCAAGGTCACACAAGGTGGATTCTAAGAGAATATCCACTTTCTTGACTATTCAGCTAGGCTCTCTCAGGTGAGGCAAAGGACAGGGATCAGATCCTTGTGCCACTATCATGTGCAGACCGTTGTCCCTCAACGACCATACCACTGGAGACTGGCTAAGTAACTTCCAAACACTCACCCCTCCCCCAGTTTCTGGATGAAGAGGTAACGCTTATTGTCAATGATGACAGTTCCCCGAGAGCAGACACACAGTGCGTGACCCATAATGTCTCAGTCATCCTCCTCAAGGACGGTCTCTGGCTGCCGAAAGGCTGGTCCAGGATAAGTGGCCTCTTCTAGGCGATGCACTGGGGGCCCAGCAGATCATGCTGGAAGGAAAACAACGGCAGGTCGCGGGTCCGGCACCATCCAGACGGCCCTTGAAGTACCACTGCGGAGGGCTCAGGCCCAGGTCTCGGAACCTAGATTCCGATCTAGAGAAAACAGGCTCTAGCGACGCTCACTCCGAGGCTGGGGTCAGGTGTTTTAAAGCCTCGGGCCACGTCGTGTCTGCCAGGCCGCTTCCTTGAACCCCGGCCCACCTTCGGGCAAGTCCTGCTCCCATGCCCGTGGGGTGGCGAAGGCAGGGCACCTCCCAGAGGAGGTGCACGGCTCCGGCGCGCCTGTGGAAGAGCCCACCCCCCACCTCCCGGTGCGGAGCCCCAGGTCTGCCAGCCTGCAATCCCCACTGACCTGGCTCGGGCCCGAACGAAGCGCCTGGGACCGGAAGCAGCTGTTACATCATCAGTCAGCGACGCATTAACGGCCCCGCCGTATCCTAGCAACTGCTCGGCATCCGGAGGATGTGAGGGCGGGCTAGACTTGCGGGTGGACGTGTTCCAGAACTGGGTTCCCCGGTTGGCCTTCAGTAGGGGTCAAGACGCAGACACTTACTCCAAAGGAGAGCAAAGCCAGCTCGGCCCGAGGACCCCAGGACCTCCATCTCCCAATGTCGGAGGTAGGAGGCCTCAGACCTTCCGCGCTCTGGGATCAGAAAGCGGCCTACTATAGGCCAGGGAGGGGCGAGTGATGGCGGCTAGGACGCTTGGAGCTTCTGATCCTCTACTATTTTAAGGGCTCAGGACTGTATCCTACTATAGTGTCAGTAGTAAAGAGTTCACTCTTGGACCAGTTTCTAAGTCCAGCCCTAAAGGCCTCCTAGCCATGCAACCTGCAGCAAGTTACCCTCTCAGATCCCCCCTTTTCATAGCTGTAAAACAGACCTAATAGTACCTAAGGTTAAGGGCATGAACTTGAAGCCAAACTGACTCCTTCCAATCCCAACTCTACTAAACTAGAGTTAGTGTGCCCTTGGACAGGCTACTTAATGTTTCCATCCTTTAGTTTTCTCATCTGTCAAAATGAGAATAATTATTTCGTGGTGGTTTGAAGGTGAAGTGAGATATAATGGTGCTTAGCGCAAGATCTGACACAGAGCCCTCAGTAAGTGTCGATAAACAGGAGTAATAATCATTACTTACTACCCTGATTCTCACATCCCAGGCTTGGGACTGTGAAGGCAGGAGGAATAGAAATTCACAGATTCCCAAGGTTTGGCACCAAGCCGTTACCCTTGACATCTCTTGCCTTCAGAGGTGTGGACTTGCCAGGGTGACTGTTTTCCTTAAACAGATGAGCCCTGGTAACACTTGGTCCCCCCCCAACACACTCCCTTTTCACATCCGTGTGATCACAGTAATTTCCCTATGATTTCCATTGTGTTTCTGAGTCCGTTTTAGACCTTAGTTCTGACATCCATTCATCTAGATTATTAACTTGCTATGTGCTGGGCCCTGTGCTAGATGCTTAAGATTCAAAACCGACAAAGCACTCCTTTTTTTTTTTTTTTCAGTACTAGGGTTTGAACTCAGGGCCTTGTGCTTACTAGGTAGGTGCTCTACCACTTGAGCCACACCCCAGCCCTACTATGAAGCACTCTTGCTCTCAGGGAGCTTGATGTAGTAGAGCTGTGCTTCTCAATCTTAAGTGTGCTTAGGATTGCCTGGGAGCCTTGTTAAAATACAAATTCTGATTCTACAGGTCTGAGGTAAGACAGGAGATTCTGCATTTCTTTTCTTCTTCTTCTCCTTTTGAGATTCTGCATTTGTAACAAACTTCCTGCTGATGAAACTGGTTCCTGAACTGTGTGGGGTTTGTTTTTGGCAGTACTGGGGTTTGAACTTGGGGCATCTCTTTTTTTTTTTTTTTTTTGCAGTAGTGGGGAATTGAACCCAGGGCCTTCTGTATGCCAGTCAGATACTTAACCACTGAGCTATAACCCCAGCCCAACTTGGGGCCTTTTGCTTGCTGTGTACCATTTCAGCCATACCCCAGTCCTTTTTTTGCTTATATTTCAGCTAGGGTCTTGTTTTTGCCCAGGTTGGCCTCAGACCTCACTCCTACCTCCACCTCCCTCCTATCTAGGATTGCAGGTGTGTACCACCACACCTGGGGTTGAGATGGGTCTGAGATAGGGTCTAGCTAACTTTTTGCCAGGGCTAGCCTGAAATGACAATCCTCTTGATCTCCACCTCCTGAGTAGTTGGGATGCAGGCATGAGCCCCTGTGACCTGCGTAAGCTGCACTTTAAGGAGCAAAAACTAGAGAATTTTACAGAGTAGCCCATGGTTGGTGGCTTCAAGACAAAGTCCAGCTTAGCCACCTGGAAACTTGAGGTGGTGTCCGCCCCCTTGCTCACTGAGGTTTCCTCCCAGGAACCCGACACGTGAGGTTGGACCAACGGCTCAGACTAGAAGAGCCCTGGAAGCGCCATGGCTCCCAAGAAGCCCTCCTACCTTCCTTTCCTGCTGCAGCCGCTCCTGCTGCTGCTGCTGCTGCTGCTGCTGCTGCTACCGCCCCAGGTAATTTGAGAGGCTCGACCCAGCCGGCCGGGTGCGGATCAGCGGGAACAGATCTGGCAGAAGAGAAAATTATCCAGCAAATGGCTAGCAGGACCAAGTCTATATCCTCAGCTATTCGCAAGCGTTTTCACTCCAGACCTCTGCTGAGCACCGGCTCTCTCCCTTTGCAGGCTGACGCTCGGTCTTTTGTAGTGGATCGGGACAATGACAGGTTCCTCCTGGATGGGGTCCCGTTCAGCTACGTGTCTGGCAGCCTGCACTACTTTCGGGTACCCCGGGTGCTTTGGGCAGACCGGCTTTTCAAGATGCGAATGAGTGGCCTCAACGCCGTACAGTTGTAAGAAGTGTTGTGAGAGCCATGAAAGGGCGGGATTTGCTGTTCCTACTGCCCCTTAGGAAGCTGGTCCGGACTGGAAAACTACCTGGGTCTGAAGAGGCTCCAGGGCTTCTGGGGCAAGGATGGGAAAGGGTGGGCAGGACTTCCTTCCAACTGTTTTCTGGAGATTCCCTTCAAGGCCTGGGTCTTAGGCCTCCCTCCTATCTCCCCATCTTGGGTCCTCTTAACCTCTTTTCTCAGTTATGTGCCCTGGAACTACCATGAGCCAGAGCCTGGGGTCTATAACTTTAATGGCAGCCGCGACCTTTTGGCCTTTCTGCATGAGGCAGCTATGGCGAACCTACTGGTCATATTGAGACCAGGACCTTACATCTGTGCAGAGTGGGAGATGGTGAGTTAGTAGGAGAAGGGACAGAATCAAAGCCATCCATGTTGGGTTTCTAGATGACACCTCTTTGCCCACACTTCAGGGCCATTTCCAGTGCTGTACTCCTTCCCCTTATCTCCTCCATTGAACCTCAAAACAAAACCTACATCCTTCTTTGTTGTCTTTATGTTTTTCTCAAGGGGGGTCTCCCATCCTGGTTGCTGCGTAAACCTAAAATTCATCTGAGAACCTCAGATCCAGGTGAGTTGAGACAATAGATTTAACACAGGAAAAAAGCCAACAACAAAAAGATGGGTCACTTGAGTGCTCAAACAAACAGAAGAGACCATCCTCAACTTGGAAGTCATTCATTCAAATATTGTGTCCTTCATACCCAGAAGGATGCTAGAAACTGAGACCAGACAGACCCAGTCCCTGTGCAACAGAGCTTTTGAATGTGGAAGGCACACTGGGGAAAAAAAATCAACAAATAAAGATTATAAGCTATAAACATGATACACAAAGAATTAAATAAACTAGTTCAGATAGTAATAGAGAAAGCCTCTTTTTTGGCAGGGTGATCAGGAAAGGCTTTTCTGAGAAGGTGGCATCTCAGCTATCTAGGGAAGGAAAGCATTGGTCATGTGAAGAGTGAGGCAAGAACATTCCAGTCCAGGGGAGGGAAAGAGCAGCATGACATGAAATTAGAGCCATGATAGAGTACTGGGTTAGTAGTTTATTCCAAGTACAATAAAAAGCCATTGAAAACATTTAACCAGAGATGTAGCATGGTCTTTAATATTACTTTAGCCTGGATGTGTCAAGTGGCTTGAAGGGAACAAGGGTGGAGAAATGAATCAAGGTTATTTCTGTAGTTGAGAACAGAGATCCAGTGCCTGGACCAAGGTGATGGTGATAGAAATGAAGAGGGCAAATTAAGATATAGTTTGGAGATAAAAAGGAATTGTTAATAGATTATGATTGGAAGGGGAGTAGCGGGGGCAGTGTGGGTAGGAAAAGAAAGGAATGAGTTTCTGGCCAGTCAAGATGGTAGTACCATTTACTAACATGGGGAAGACAGAGGCAGCTGTGGGTGCAGATGAAAACAGTTTAGGGTGCTGGACAGCTTTATGCCCCTTATAGCATTTCCCAAGTCAACTGTGAAATATATTTAAAGTATTACCTGGGTGCCAGTGGCTTATGCCTGTAATTCTAGCTACTCAGGAGGCAGAGATCAGGAGGATTGCGGTTCGAAGCCAGCCCAGGGAAAATAGTTCATGAGACCCCATACTTTTTATTGCAAGCCATTATCTTTAAAGCCCAACACAAAAAAAAGGGCTTGTGGAATGGCTCACATAGTAGAGCACCTGCCTAGCAAATATGAGACCCTTGAGTTCAAATCCTAGCACCACCAAAAAAAAAAGTAAAGTATTAGTGGAACACCAACATTCAGTATATGTTCTGTTCAAGAGCACCAGTGACCAGTACATTGTGAAATCCATCATCTCTGAGGCTTCATCCTCCTTAACCAGTCAGTAGCACTCAGAGTTGGTCATTCTGTTCTTTGAAATACACTCTTCTCCTCTCCCATGATGCCTCACTACCTGATCCCTGCCTTGCTCCCTTTCCAATCTTTCTGACCACCCAGTCTCAGTTTTTTACTGTTTTTTTATTTTCCTTTATTCTAAGTGCTAGAGTGTGTCAGGACTCAGTACTCCAATGCTTTTTTCTGTCCTCATTCCCTAGATGATAAATTCATTCACATGATGGAATTAAAATTCATCTAATAGCTAACGACCCTGAAGTATATTATCTCTATAGCCATGGCCTTTCCCATGACTTCCACACATACTCCTAAGTTATATCTACATTCAAATAAAGTGTAATACAAATAAATAAAAAGTGTAATGATACAACTAAGCTCCTGGTATTGCCCCCAAAATCAGCTTTTTCTACAATCTCATCTCAGTTAAAAGCAACTCCATTTTCCAACTGAGCAGCTAAATACTATGGTGTAATTCTTCATGCCTGCTTTTCGCTCATACTGTGCATTCACTCCACCAGAAAATCCTGTCAGCTTTACCCTCAACAAGACTGAATTTAACTACTTTCTATCATCCCCATTGGGCCACTCTCCTGGCCCAAACCACCTCTCTTAGCTCACTTATCTTTATAGCTTCCTATCTCATTGCTTCCTAACTGGTTTCCCTTGTTTGTCCTGTGTCCCTTTAGGTAAAGGAGGGTAGAACAAGTGTTAGGCAAGGAAAGAACATTCATGAAGACTTTGAGGGTAAATCACAAAAATCACAAGGCAGGAATTGAGAATTTAAGACATGATGTTTAATATGATCTTTCAAGTGCTGACCTACATCACCTGGACTTCTTAGTGACACAAGGGTGCAAGTCAGACACCCTATTTTTCTGTGAATTCCCAAATGATGTCACAACAATCTCAGGTATAAGTTAATTATATAATAATAGCCCTATATATTATATAATAGACTTTTACATGTACTTGTTTTATTTTTAAATTTTTCACATTTTCCCTAAATGCATTTCATGAAATTACGTATTTTTCTGGGAAACACTACTTGAAGATTTCCTACATTCCAATTCCACTAGCATATAAATTTATAAATGCTTAGGGTTAAGAGTCTTCTAGGATGCTGCATAAGGTGTTCAGAAAAAAAATTGATGATAGATGCAGGCATTTTTGTTGTTATTATCATTTGTGACCTGCTAGCTTTGTGTAAAACCAATGAAAACTCATAGGGCACCATGAGGCAAGGACTAGAAGCAGAAATGAGGGACAAAAGTCCCCTATATAGCACAGTCTTTGGTGTCCGCCAGCACCTGCCTGTAACTCGATACTAAACCTTCACATTATAAGCCCTCTGGAACTTTAAAATTTTCTGAGCATTTAAATAAAATTCAAATAAACTGCCTTAAAAGAAGAGTTTCTTCTAAGAGTCACTGCTTCCCACATTTAGTTGTGGGCAAGGGGAATGGAAGCTGTAGCCAGAAGGCAGCACTGAAGTTGCCAGCAAGAATGCTGGGGGCGGGGTGTGGAGGTGTGATGGCCTCAATGAGCGGAGTGCTGCTCCTTCTTCTAGACTTTCTTGCCGCGGTGGATTCCTGGTTCAAGGTCTTGCTGCCCAAGATATATCCGTTTCTCTACCACAATGGGGGCAACATCATTAGCATTCAGGTATCAGTAGGAAGTAGACTGGGCAAGGGGAAGGAGGTAGAAGGGGTCCTTAATCCTCTCTACCTCATAGCTGAGCACCTCTTTCCTTTCCCTTGGGCAGGTGGAGAATGAATATGGTAGCTACAAAGCCTGTGACTTCAACTACTTGAGACACCTGGCTGGGCTCTTCCGTACATTCCTAGGAGATGAAATCTTGCTCTTCACCACAGATGGGCCTGAAGGACTCAAATGTGGCTCCCTCCAGGGACTCTATACCACTATAGATTTTGGTCCAGGTCTCCTAAACAAGGGTTAAGAGAGGAGTCTGAGAAAGGGGTACCTCTTCTGTGATATTTATCTTTTATTCTTGCCTTCTTTCTGTAGCTGACAACATTACCAAAATCTTTACCCTGCTTCGGAAGTATGAACCCCGTGGGCCATTGGTAAGGGGCTATATGGAAGGGAAATTAAAGCAAGAGTCTGGTGGCAATAGCTTGGCTTGGTTCTTACCTCACTCATGGCTCCTTTCACTCACATTCTAGGTGAACTCTGAGTACTACACAGGCTGGCTGGATTACTGGGGTCAGAATCACTCTACACGGTCCATTCCAGCTGTAACCCAAGGACTAGAAAACATGCTCAAGTTGGGAGCCAGTGTAAACATGTAACTGGAGCACAGTATGAATCTGTTACTGGGAGTTGGGTATAAAAGTTAAGATCCAATGGGTCAGCTTTTACCTCTCTTTCCCACCCTCCCCCACTTTAGGTACATGTTTCATGGAGGTACCAATTTTGGATACTGGAATGGTGAGTACAGGTCATCCCTGGGACAGAGGCAGAGAAGTAACAAGGAATCAGTATCTAAGGGCTAGGTGGATTAGGATGTCTAGAAGCTGGATATGGCTACCATTGCCCTCTCTGATGGCAAAATTCTCTACGTGAAGCTCTTTGTTTAGTGCCTATCACCCAAAACATATGTTGAATTATTTAAATTGGTTCAACCTCAGGTGCTGATGACAAGGGACGATTCCTTCCAATTACTACCAGCTATGACTACGATGCACCCATATCTGAAGCAGGGGACCCCACACCTAAGCTTTTTGCTCTTCGAAATGTCATCAGCAAGGTGCCCTTTTATTAACTTGGGAGCTAGGAGTGCCCAAATTGTAAAGGGACCCTATAAATTGGTGGTGGTTGTCTGGGCCACAGAACCCTCTGAACATTCCAAGGAAGCACTTCCCACTCATTCAAATGGGACTATCTGGAAAGTCATACATGTACAAAATTATAGGGTGTTCATGACCTCCTGAAGCCCTTCTCTGGGCCCTATGTGAAAAACCATCTTTAAGACCTTGGGATGGGAATTTCTGTGGCTCCTACTGGCTCCTGAGAGAATTTGGGCTCAGTTCCAGGAAGTTCCCTTGGGACCTTTACCTCCCCCAAGCCCCAAGATGAAGCTTGGACCTTTGACACTGAACCTGGTAAGTTCCTCCCCATCTTTTCTGATTCTTTTTTTTTTTTTTTGCAGTACTGGGGCTTGAGCTCAGGGCCTACATCTTGAGCCACTTCACCAGCCCCTTTTTTGTGAAGGGCTTTTTTTTTTGAGATAGGGTCTTGCAAAACTATTTGCCTGGGATAGCTTCAAACCTTGATCTTCTTGATCTCTGCCTCCTGAGTAGCTAGGATGATAGCCGTGAGCCCCTGGCACCCAGTTTCTTTCTGATTCTACATCTTTCTTTTCTAAATAGCCTTCCCTGTCCTGCCCTTCATCAAGGAACTTCCCTCTTAGATTCTGATTCTTATTCCTTATTCTAATAGGATGGAAATTTGCTGGCTTTCCTAGACTTTCTCTGCCCCCAGGGACCCATCCGTTCATTTTTGCCAATGACCTTTGAGGCTGTCAAGCAGGTAAGGCATTAACTCACATTTGCTGGGAATGGCAGATATCCCCTCAAAAGCTGTAGCCAAAAGCTCCTTCTAGCTACCAAGAGTCCTTTCTTATCTCTCAGTTCATCTTAAACTACTCATTCTTCCATATCCAGGACCATGGCTTTATGTTATACCGAACCTACCTGACAGACACCATTTTTGAACCAGCACCATTCTGGGTGCCAAATAATGGAGTCCATGATCGTGCCTATGTGATGGTGGATGGGGTAAGAACCTAATTCCAGGCTAATGTGACCCTAACTTCCTTCCTTTTCCAGCACTCTATAGCCTTGTTTCCCCATCTCCATCCTTTCTGTAGAGAGTTCAGGGTTATAAGTAGGAATGAAGAAGAGTTTGATTAAGGATAGAGTTCTAGAATGGATAGTGGATAACTGACAGATGGTCACCATTCTTCCTGCCCTCCAAATAAGTGTTCTAATGTGGCTCCATGTGCAGTTACCAAGAACTAGAGCTATGCTGGATCCTTCCTTTCATAGATCCTATCTCTTATGTATAGGTATTTCAGGGTGTTCTGGAGCGAAATATGAAAAACCAACTATTTTTGACTGGAAAAATGGGGGCCAAACTGGATATCTTGCTGGAGAACATGGGGAGGCTCAGTTTTGGGTCTAACCACAGTGACTTCAAGGTAAGATGGGTTTTTGCCTATTCTTTCTTTTCCCCAGTATTTTTACTGACTACCTCCCTTGGAATGATAGAGGCTGAGTAGAAGATAAATTACAGCCATGTCCTTAGGATTAGGCAGAGAAATAGTGGCTTGTAGGGATCTCAACATGGATAGTTACATTCTAGGCCCTGATTAGGGATAGTGTGGCCTTTGAGCTTAGTGAATGATGACTTCTCATTTGCCTCTTCACAGGGTCTGTTAGAGCCACCAGTTCTGGGGCAAACAATCCTTACTGAGTGGATGATGTTCCCTCTGAAAATTGATAAACTTGTAAAGTGGTGGACTCCCCTTCACTTGCTGAAAGGAGCACAGCCTGAAGTTCCCTCTGGCCCTACCTTCTACTCTACAATGTTTCCAATTTTAAAATCAGTTGGAGACACATTTCTGTATCTACCTGGATGGACCAAGGTATGCTACTGGTGGTAATAAAGGAAAAAACATGAAAGGAGGGAACAGAAATTACTTCTCTGATTAGAAACCCCCAAGGGGATGATTCTACCCCTTAGAGAGCTGACTCTTTCTTCTCCCCACTCCCTCCTTCTCACAGGGCCAAGTCTGGATCAATGGGTTTAACTTGGGCCGGTACTGGACAAAGCGGGGGCCACAACAGACGCTCTACGTGCCAAAACTCCTACTGTTTCCTAGGGGAGTCAACAAAATCACAGTGCTGGAGCTAGAAAATGTGCCTCCCAATCCCCAAATTCAATTTTTGGATAAGCCAATTCTCAACAGTACCTTACATAGGACATATATCTATTCCCTCTCAGATACACAAAATGCCTATGATCCAATGGAGTTAAGTGGTCACTGAAGAAAGCTGACCCTTGAACCTAGGACATGGAGTGGGCAGGATCCTTTGGTGCTGGCACAGTAACCATAAAGAACCAAAGGTTAGAATGCCTCTGAATATAAGTACAAGTACAGTTTCCTTACCAAACTTTATTGTGATTAAAAAGTTCCAGAGACAGTACCAGCTCCACACACCTCTGTGGCCCTGTCTTTGTCCTGGTTCCTGAGTGTCCCTCACCCTAATCTTCCAAATAATCTGTGACTTCATGGGGAAGAAGAAACCTAGAGCTCATGTGAATGTGCTCTCTTGGGGTATACAGTTGGCTCCAGGTGGAACTGTAAGAGATCAGGAAGAAGGCCTTCCTGCCCGACAGCGATGATTCTGGAGGCAACGTGTGGAGCAGAAAGAGATGTCGAGGTAGTGAAAGGGAATAAGGCCTTGGAGCGATGCCCCACAATTCCAGCAGCGTCTGAACAGACAAAAGAAAAATGGCTGGACAGGTACCCCAGAAACTTTCCAATCTAAGCTTTCCCCAGCCCTCAAGGGTTCCAAAATATCTCAAATCCCTCAACAACCCTTCTGAATACCATATAGGCATTCACTCCACTTGCTCCAAATAGTCCCTCCAACATTAGGATCCACCCCTTCACTCATTCCCTAGTTCCATACCCAGCATTGATGACTGCAGAGTCAGGGATTGGAGGGCTAGGGGTTCCCAACTGGGCAGCCAGTCGGCGCTCTGCAGCCAGTGCTCTCTGAGAAACAGAGAAGTTATGTTAAGCACAAAGCCCCAGTGGTGAACAGTGTGCCCAAGAAGTGAAAGTTGCACTCTGGGGAGGGTATAAAACCTCTAAAGCCAAACTATGGAATAACCTCACCTTCTCTCGGTCGCTGAGCGCAGCAAATCGCTGTTGCTCTGCTTGCTCCCGTTCCTCCTGCTCCCGCTGCTTCTGTTGCTGTTCCTCCCGTTGCCGCCGAGCTACCTTCTGCTCCCTTTTCCGTGTAGCCTGCCTTGCCTCCATTTCTGAGGTCAGTGGCCCTGGCACCTAAAGGATTTGCAGAAAATAAGACCCACACGTGCTACCCCTCATAATACTGCAAGGAAAGGACCTAGCAAAGATCTATGATGTCTTCCCACTCTATTTCCTTCTTTTTCCAGCTGACCTGAGCCTTCTTGTAATCATAGGCATCTGGATTCTTCTCCATGAACCTTCGGAACTCATTACGTGTTGATCTGTCAGCTGACACAGTATAAGGCGGCCGAGCCCAGGAGTCCCTAAGTGCAAAAACCCCAAAATGAGTTCACCTTGCCTCCTGCCTTTCTAAACATCATCCAACCAAACCAAGGAATGTCAAGTAGCCAATGTCAACATGAGTCATCAAATTATCCTCTGTCGAAACTCTTACTTACTGTATGGTGGGGTCAGCACCTGCCTCCAGCAGCAGACGAACTACTGAGCCCCTCCCAGCTGCGGCTGCTGCATGAAGGAGAGTAAAGCCACCGGAGCCCAAGGGGGCATTAAGTAGGGATATAACTCCAGGGTCTTCAAGCCCAGCAGCTATCTGGAGCTTCAGTGCTCCAATGTCTCCAGCTCGACAAGCAGCTAGAAGCACATCCCAGAGCTGCTTGGCCGCTTGGACCGAAGGGCTCAAAGGGGCTGCAACCACCTGGGCTGGTGGTGAGAAGGGCTCATCTTCTTGAGGTTGCTGGAGAAGAGAAATATGTTTCCTAGTCTCCTGGTCTCGACTTTTATCCTTATTCCTTTTTCTTCTCCTCCGCTTGGGCAATTCCTCAAACTCACGAAGATGCAGGGTCCCCAGTGTCAACTCCGCTAGCTCCAACTCTACCTGGAAACCATCTTCTCCCTCCGACCCTGAACCTAGGGAAAATGTGACATATTAAAGCCATCTAAGGAAAAAGCCAAGGGTGGAGTAGACTTCTTCAGATGCATTTATTTATATCTATAAAGAGATCATTCAGATCATCCTGAATTGAAATTAAGTGTTTTATTTTGCCCTGGGACTCTCCCTGTGAGCAGCCTTAGGATGGTACACAGTAGAGGAAAACAAACCTTAGCCTAAAACCACAGCACCCTGTCAGACATTAAAAAAATGTGAGACTTTTGCAACACATTCAAGCATCAACTCCACGCTAGGTACCAGGGATACATCCATGACAAAAGAAATAATAGATTTGGAACTGTCAATAAACATGTCTCAGTGGCACGCACGACTGTAATCCTAGCACTCAGGAGGTGAAGGAAGGAGATTGGTGAGATTGAGGCCAGCTTGGGCTACATAGCAAGACTTTGTCTCAAAAAAAAAAAAAAAAAGTTTCAGTGATTGCTACAACATACCCCATTTTATAAATACACTAGTGTGAGTGTGATAGGTCAGTTGAGAGAATTTGCCACCTGCATTTCTGGGACAAATACTCAGATCTGACAATTGCCAAATGGTGTTCAAACCCTGTTGGGTGATTTGTCATTCTGCCCAAGTGCCTTACTTTCATCACTAGACACCTTTTTTCTTTCTTCCTCAGTAACCTTCATCCTCTCCTTTCTCATAGTCTTCCAGTATGTCTGAGGTGAATGCAATCTGACTGTCTCCCGAGGGTCTTCTCCTGCCATGAAACAAAAGACTTTTCTCAAACTTAGCTGAGGAGAAGCCTGCCCATGGTTTGCTCATTGAAAATATATTCAGGCTGCAGCTGAAGGGCTAGAAAATTCTCTGGATGCACACTTGAGAACTTGAAGGGCTGGGAAATCCAGGAATCTAGGGTCAGAGTTCTCACCATAGACATGCAGTGTGGTCAGCTTCTGGAGCACACGCTGGAGCTCTCCGAAGGTGGGCCTGCGAGTGTTGAGGGGTATATCCCAAAGTCGGGGATCCTCCCTTTGCAGGGGTGCCCCATTGCCTCCGAAGAACAAGGACCGGCCAGAGCGGGGGGCACGAAGCAGTATCGTCCCAGCCTCCCCCAGTGCCTTGGCCCAGCCTGATTCTGCCAACAGATCACGAACATCCTAGAAAAGAGAGTAACTCTACTTGGCATATCTTCACTTGCTATTTTAAAAAGATACCCAAACAAAAAATATAGTGTGCAAGGAGTGGGAGATACATAACAATACAGAGGGAGAAAGAATAAGCGGATTAAGGCTCTTGGGGATTCTGATTCTTTGTCCACCCAGAAATAATGAAAATTGGAAGGATACAGGGCCTAAAACCCCTGCTATTACACTTAATGAGTCCAATTGAGAGGCAAAAAAAAAAAGTGATTCGAGGACCACCAGATCTGAGAGGTAACTCACCTTATACAGTGTGGCTTCATTGTAACGCCTCAGGTTGGCTCCAGCAGAGCGTGATGCCCTACCCTGGGCATCCTGAAGACCCTGGGCTGTGCCCCGCTTGGCCCTCACAGTGTAACGGTGAAAGGTTTTGTGTGTCACCACTTCTCTTCTGTAGATAGCACAGACTCAACTAGTGCTCCCAGGCTAATAGGATCCATTCCAACCTTATCCCATGCAGCACCCTCTCACCCTTGAAAAATGGCACCAGCAAAGTGCCCAGCTGCAGCCATGAGCACCACACAGTATCTGGGACCTCCACTTTGCAGGTTCTGTAGCAACAGTTCTGCCTCTCTTGGGGAAACCTAGATGATGGAGATGCATTCATTGAGAGCAAGAAACCAAGTCCAGTGCTAAGTGCTTCACATACATCATCTCCTCTACTCCAACCACTGTGGGGCTTGTTTCCATTTTACAAAGAAGGAAATTTGAGGCTTAGAGAGGTAGTGTTAGAAGACCAAGTGATAGAATCACAATTTTAACTAAGACTTGTCTGTTCCCAGACTTAATTCCATTACACCTAACCTCTTTTAAGCTCCAGGCCACTGTGCTGTCATGATTAAAAGGAAGGAGGGAAGAAATGAAACATGGACTAGCTGAGGGGAAAATCAAGACTGAGTGTACAAAAAGCTGGGGTTGACCAAACAACCTATGCTGTCACTTGCCTGATGAGGACCTAGGACACAGCGGTAGGCATAAATAAACTGGCCGTGAGCATTTTGGAAAAGAACGCGATGTGGGCAAAAGCCTCCGGGTCGGTTAGGCTTCTCAAATTCAGCCCTTTCCTCATGCAGTATCTGCAAGCCTTCACTGGCTGAATCTGAGTCTTCTGATCCTGAAATGCTGGAAAGATCTCCTGAAGACAGACAAAATACAAGTGTGGTACCTTGTCTTTCACCTTTCCTTATACCTTTTAGTGCCTTCATACATTCTCATGCCTTAGCCGCCCCACAGGCCTCCCAACAGGCATCACCTGTTGAGCTCTGCTTTTCAAAATCCACAGCAGATAGGACAGGCTTATTCTTGAGACGTTGCTTTAGGTTAAAGCGATGCCAGTCAAGCTTATAATGTTCTCTCTGGTACAAAGGCAAAGAAAGAGGTAAAAGTTGGAGATATGTCCTAGCCTGGTCTTGTACATTAGCCAAGACCAGTAATAGAACTCCAGGAAATATGACTGGGTGACACCAACTGCATTAGTTAAAAAGCATGGACCTTAACTTAAGGCATATCAAATGTCTAATCTCTCCCCATCCATTATACTTTTGGTTCTAACATCTAGCCCTATACCTTGGCTTTTACCTGTTCCTGGTGGTTCTGGAAGGTCTGGTCACAGGCAGAACAAAATAATTTTACTGAAATATCCAGAGGACCCTGAAGTACTTTCTTTTTTGGGCTCGCTCTCTCCCCCGAACCTAAATAAAGAGAAGGGTAGTTGTAGGTAGAAAAGGAGCCCAAATCCACATTGCCTGAAATTACATTCAATGTTTACAAAGAGATGAATGATACAAAAGAAGAAATGGTATGACCTTGTCTTATGGAAATTTACTCTCCAGTAATGAACTAAATGTTATAGTAATCACTTATAGAATAAATGCTTCTGAAAAGATACATGTAATATGAATATAAGTCAAATGTATTTAAATTTAGCCAAATGAATTGTTTAGAAGAATCTTGTTAAAAATAATTTCTCACCTACAATCCTAGCTACTTGGGAGGCTGAGATCTGAGACCAGCCCAGGCAAAAAGTTTGCAAGACCCCATTTCCACCAATAGCTGGGTGTGGTGGTATGTGCCTGTCAACCCAGCTAGGCAGGAAGCAGAAGCCCTGAGTTGAAACTCCAGTACCACCAAAAAACAAACAAAAAAGCCTGGGATAAGGTTAAAATTTTTCTTTTTCTCTCTCTCTTTGGGGTGCTGGGGATTGAACCCAGACCCTCACAGCATGTGCTCTACCACTGAATTACATATCTGGTCCTAATGTGTTTTTTCATTTTATTTCATTAAGCACTACATAACACACTGAAGAACCTTCTAGTAAGGGTAAATGAACAGAATTGATTTTTTCATCAATCAGGAAACTGATTGTTCTCCAAACCCTGTGACAACAGTAAAGGTTAACTCCAGAACTGGGCCTATCTCTTCCTATCAAACTCCACTGACATGGGTACTGGGCAACACTTTTTTCCTTGCCCCAGGCTAGTGAGCTTGTGGTTGCACAAAGTGGCTACTTGGGATGAGTAAGCACACACCCATGAAGACAAGTACTTTTCCATACAGTTAACTAGAACAAAACTCTACTTCTAGGTCTCTTAAAGGTAACTGGGGGCTGGCAGAGTAGCTCAAGTGGTGGAATGTCTGCACAAGGCCTGAATTCAATCCCACTACTGCAAAAAAAAAAAAAAAAAAAGGGGGGGGTGTAGGGGGGAAGCTTTGTCTCTTTCCCTTCCCCGTAAGCCCTAAAATTATTATTACTTTTGCAGTGGTGGAGGTCAAACCAAGGGCCTTGCACTACTGAGCTACACCCTCTAGCTCTTAAAATTATTAACTCTATAAAAACCACTTCCTAAATGCCGTTTTTAAAGCTTACAGTTCCAGGTACAGTGGACAATTAATCTAAAGAGAAAGGCAAGAAAACACAGCCAAAGGCAAAACTAAAGTACAAAACCAATAATAAATTGTATACTCAATACTAAAGAATGATTTGATTGGAGTCTAGTTAAATTTTGAACACATCCAGGAATTTCTAAGTGTTTTAAAGGCAGTGGGTTAATGTGACGAGACATAAGCAATAGCCAAAAACTTGTTCCGAGACAACTCAGGGACACATGCTAGAAACTACCCAGAGTTTAATTGAATTTAAGAAAAATTGTATCCAACAAAAAGAGAAGTCAGCGTGGACTCCTAAACTAGGAAATAACAAGAATAAAGTCTTCCCTGTAGTAGTAAGAGCCCTGTGACGGTCCTCATGCGTCCACCCCAAACCTTCCCAGATACCTGGGCAAGAAGAACGCGGAGCCCCGGCCAGATCCTCCCCGGGAGCGTGGCTCACCAGGCTCAGGCCCTGAAGGATTGGCGCAGCCGCGCTGAGGTCAAACAGGGAGACCAACGCGGGAGCCGGAGCTGCAGCTGAAGCCGGCGACATGGCTGAACAGGAATTACTTAGAAGCAGCTCCTGGAGTACAAAGGGGAAGAGGGGAGAAACAGAGCTCCCCAGAGCGAGACCCCATTGCCACGTCTCCTGCCTGCCTGACTTGGTCTTCCCCACGCCGCAAGGCCGCTGGGCCTTCACCCTGCCCAAGGGTTAGTCCTGCGGTAACTCCGTGACCCGGGCTCGCTTTCTCAAGCGTTAAAGGGGAGCACCCAGCTCCCAAATCCAGTCCTCGGAGTTAAAGCACTGAGGTTGCCTAACCGACCGACAAGGACTGAACTGCATAGTCTCACCCCCGCCCTCAGAAGCTCCACCAATCCTCTCCGGCACGCACGTACACAGCTCGGAAGGCGAATTTCTGCAACACCGCAACAATCCCGTCACTACGGGGCCGCAAAGAGGACAAACAGCGGCGCCCGCACCCGAGCCCCGCCCCACGCAGAGCACACTATTGGCCCTTGGACTCTCAAGTCCCGCCTCGGTCCTTTCGGCCCACCCCCCAGAACCGAGAATTGGCCAGCGTGTCTCCACCCCCCCATGTTCATTGGCAAGGCTGGCTGCGGGTGACAGTGAGTGGCAGAAGCCGGGCCTAGCGCTCAGGGTCGGGCCGAGCCTAGCCGAACAGACCGATCCCCTGGAATTGCCCGGGTCGGGGTTCCTGAAGTGACACGCGAGACCGGCTATTGGAATCCCCAGGTCCGGGCTGGGCCTGCCACGGGTGCCCACAGAGCCCCAAGTGAGCTCGCGGCGGGTAACCGGGGAAGGGGCGCCACGGGCGGGGCGGGGGCGCGCAGCCGAAATGTTTTGATAGCGGGCGCGCGCGGGCGGGGGCGCGCGCGGGCGGCGGGGCCGCGCGCGAGGTTGTCCGCTGTTGGGAGCCGAGCCCTTGGCCAGGGGCCGGACGACCTGAAGTGCGCTGTGCTCGGGTCCCGGCGGCTGGGTGTGGAGAGGCAACTCAGCTTGTCTAGGGTATCAGCTGTAAGTCTGGCTCGGCGCTCCAACATCCGCAGGAACCCCTGAGCCCAGGCCCTACCTGGTGGGGATCCAGAGGCCCTGGGTCTACACTGACCCGGTAAGTTTCTTGAGGGGCAGGGCTCCCACGAATCCAGGGAATCCCACTGGGGCCTGGCAAGGCCAAGATCCACCATCCCTAGGGTCTGCACTGATTGGATGAGTACCACCCTGACCCTGCCTGACGCCAGGGACCTAGGGAACCCACTGATTCCCTTACGATCCAGAGTCTACCCTGATTTGGAGTCTCCCATCCAGGAGCTATGCCTGTCTGCTGGGTCTTCTGTGCTAGGGAAGCAGGGAAGTTGTTGAACAGAAAGATCCTCTTCAGAAAAGACTCTCATTAGGGGTTTTGTGGACCCTGAGAGGCATGTTCTGAAGCTGAGGTGGGGCAATGGGGATACAGCCCAGGAGGGGATCCCCAGTCTGTGACCTGTACTGACTCAGTCTCCATAGTCAGTAAGTGTCTAAGTCCGTGGTATCTTAGAGGAGGACAAGTATAGCCAAGGGGCCTCGGTCCTAGACTGGAATGGTGCCTCTTCCCTATTGCAGTCTACCTGTCCTCCTCTTAGTGGGGTGTGTGGGTGGGTGGGAGGCATGGGTTCCTTTGTATCCCCACCCCAGCCCCCACTCTTTGGGGCCTGACACCTTTTCCTTCAGCAGCTGTGCAGCCAGGGCATCCAGGACTGGAGTGGAGCAGACACTATCCATGGAGCTGGTAGGGTCATGTGCTTATCTCAAACATTTGTTTACAAAATGTTTCCAAACTGCAAATCTCTGGGGAGACCCTGGGTTTCCAGGAGGGACAAGGGAGGGAACTCTCTCTCCACTGAATAGAAGATGAAACAGCCCAGCCCCCACCAATGAGGCAGATTCTAGCTTTAGGCCAAGGAGGCATCACTACATATCCAGTAAAGGCTCTGAGAATGACTGACCAGAATTAGCCATCCCTCACCCCGCAGATCCCAAGCTTACTGCTCTGCTTGGGTTATTACTCCTGCTCTACCTTGAAGGCAAGGAGGCTGGTGATTGGGACAAAGCCTAAGGATTCTTTCTCACTCCTTCTGGCTTAGTCAGCAGGGCAGCAGGTGGGCAACACCTGGGTCTTATGACAGTCTCTTCTTCCTCCTCACCTGCAGGTGGCCAAGGTGGACAGGGGGCGGCGGTGATGGCGCAGTTTGACACTGAGTACCAGCGCCTAGAGGCCTCCTATAGCGATTCACCCCCTGGGGAGGAGGACCTGTTGGTGCATGTTGCTGAGGGGAGCAAGTGTGAGTTCTTAGACATGACATCCAGAGCTGGGGAATGTGGGACAGTTGGTGGAGGAACACTGAGGGAATGAGGGGCTTTTGTTCCTTCAAGACTCTGATATCTCTGCTCCTGTGCCCACAGCACCTTGGCACCACATTGAGAATCTTGACCTCTTCTTCTCTCGAATATCCTTTATGCCTCTGTGCTGGAGCTCTGGGACTTTAGCCCCTCTCTGGGCCAGGTCTTGGCTGGGGAATTGGGGTTGGTTCAACTCTAATCCCTGAAAGGAGAAATGAAGCTCATCTCGAGCCTGAAAGAGACTACCAAAATGATAATCGTTAAATGTAATGAATGATACCCCACATGTATTGAGAGCTGTGTGCACTTTGTGCTATTAATTTATATGGAACTTTCTAAGGTTGATTGTCTCTGATGGGAATGCTAATAGTCATAATAATTAATATCTTTTGACTCATTCTTTGTCAGTTTCGTGTTAAATATTTTGTATGCGTTTTCTTAGACCTAATATTCCTATGAGACAGGTGTTGCTAATATTAATCTACCACTGTTGGGGGGGAAAAACTTAGAGTGGTTAAGTAACTTGTTTAAAATCACACTGTAGAAAATCAGAGACAGAACTTAAGCTCAGGTGTGTGACATCAAAGTCTGCTCTCTTAACTGCTGTCTTTACTACTTTTTCTTAACACTTACACGTTTATAATCTACACCAGAAGAATGGCTTCACCTGTATGCTCATTGGGGAGATCTTTGAACTCATGTAAGTATACAAAGGGATGGATGATGAGGTGAAGTAATACATCGCAGTCCTTCCTCCTCTTGCACCTACCCTTGGCCCCACCTCCCAGTGCAACTCAATTCCAGGCTCAGTCCTCTGTAAACCTTTCTAGTTGAGGACCAAGTATGGCACCAAAACATATGGTGTAATTTCTTACAAAAAGAGCTTTGCCTCCTCTCATGAAAAGAACTCACAGCTTGAGCATTTCATCAGGACTGTAAAATGTGTATGGTTCAGTCAGGAGGTTTGAGGAAAAAGTCTGGCCAGGTGCCCAGTGGCTCATTCCTATAATCCTAGCTACTCAGAAGGCAGAGATCCAGAGGATCACACTTTGAAGCCAGCCCAGACCTAATAGTTCATGAGATCCTATCTCAAAAAACCCTTCACAAAAAGGGCTGGTGGAGTGGCTCAAGGTGTAGGCCCTGAGTTCAAACCCCAGTACCACAAAAAAAAAAAAAAAAAAAGAAAGAAAAAAAATCTGTTCTTCCTTGGCTGCACTTTAGACTTTCTGGGCAAGGAACCTTTTAGAAGGGAGGAGCCAATGATACTACCAAAGGGGAGGAGTTGGAGCCTTCAATGAAGAAAGACTTCACATCCCCAAAGTGTTTCTAAATACCATCTCAAAAGGATCAGAGACTGGAGACCTCAGACCATAATCATAAAAGCTCTAAAAGTCAAGTCTGGTGATGGTGACAGATTACCATGAGGTGAGGGAAGCAGGCTAATTCTTTGGACAAAATTAGCTAAGAGCAAATATATAGGAGCCATTTTGGGCCTGGAAATTCCTATGAGGTGGAGCAGTAGAGAGAGCCCACTGGTAATTCTCCAGCCCCTTCAACATTACCATCTTGTTCAACTGTTTCCAGGCTCTTCTTTTGTCCCTGTTTATTTCGCTGGTGCCTCTCTGACTCTTGAACTGCACCCCCTCTTCCCAACACCTTAGGCAGTTCCTCTTTGTGGTTGCCTTCACCACCTTCCTGGTTAGCTGTGTGGACTATGACATCCTATTTGCCAACAAGATGGTGAACCACAGTCTTCATCCTACTGAGCCTGTCAAGGTCACTCTGCCAGATGCCTTTTTGCCTGCCCAAGTCTGTAGTGCCAGGTAAGGCCACAGGTTAGAGGACACTGGAGTCTGTAATCCTGCTAGCTGGTAGGGAATGGAGTATAGTAGGAGGCAGCAGCTTGTACCCCAGCACACAGGCTCAGGCTTAGCCTAGCAAAATCATTTAGTAGGATAGTAGCATGTCTTCAAAGTGCCTTCCTCAAGGAAGTTCTTGAGGACTCCACTTCCTCTTTATCCCCACCACCAGGATTCAGGAAAACGGCTCCCTTATCACTATCCTGGTCATTGCTGGTGTCTTCTGGATCCACCGGCTTATCAAGTTCATCTATAACATTTGCTGCTATTGGGAGATCCACTCCTTTTATCTGCACGCTCTACGCATCCCCATGGTAAGACCAAAAGTTGGGCCATTAGCACCACAACCTAAGACACCTTGGGAGGGATGATGTGTATTCCTGGGCATCACATGTCTGTATTTATCATTGGCAGATATGCTAGTCAGCTTTCTGTCATTATGACAAAATACCTAAGATAATTTGCTTGTAAAGAAAGGTTTGCTGGGTGTGGTTGCTTACTTCTGTAATCCCAGCTACTCAGGAGGCAGAGTTAGGGAGGATTGCAATTTGAGGCCAGCCCAGGCAAAAATGTAGTGTGACCTCATCTCAACCAATAGCCAAGCATAGTGGTACACATCTTGTCATCCCACCTATGCAGGAAGCATAAATAGGAGGATCATGGCCCAGGCAAAAAAAGCAAAAGATAACTAAAGCAAAAAGGGTAGCCGGGCACCAGTGACTCACGCCTGGAATCCTAGTTACTCAGGAGGCAGAGATCGGGAAGATCACGGTTCGAAGCCAGCCTAGCAAATAGTTCGCAAGACCCTATCTCAAAAGACCCTTCACAAAAATAGGGCTGGTATAGTGGCTCAAGGTTATGGCTCTGAGTTCAGGCCCCCATGCTGCAAAAAAAAAAAAAGGCTAGAAGTGGTAGAGTGCCTTCTTAGCAAGCGTGAGGCCCTGAGTGTTCAACCCCCCAATACTACCAAAAAAAAAAAAAAAAAAACCAAAAAAGTTTATTTTGGCTCACAGTGCTCACAGTTTTGGAGGTTTCATTCCATGGTAGTTTGGCCCAATTGCTTTTGAGCCTGTGGTAAAGCAGTATATCATACCAAGAGCACATAGCAGAGGAAGCCTGTTTACCTCATGACAGCCAGGAAACAAAGACAAG